CCATTAAATACTTGCATTAAAGCCCAACTCTGGGCAATATTTTTCCCCATACAGTGGGGCTATGCCCACACTGCATGGGTTAACTGCTCATTTTTTTCTAGGGGTGAACACCGCGCCTATACTCTAACAACCCTTCAATTGTCCAGAAAATGGCACTCCCCCCAAGTCCAGCAGTGGACTGGTCCTGATGTCTTTGTGTCCAGAGCTGGTCTGTGGGCGTAATGACGTCAGGAACCGTCCACCACACAAAACCGCTGGACCGCGGAGGGGCAGGAGTCAAAGGGACCTGTCTTCTGCTGGGACGATTGGAGGATTAGGTGAGTATATCTCAGCTCTCCGAACCTCTAGACCAAAACAAGCAGGCCATGCAGTGCCCGTAGTTCTGTTTTTAAATAAATGAAATTAAATTGAATCCTGAAATTTTATTTATTTTGTTATATAGCTCTGTCAATTTACGTAGCGCTTTACATATATATTTTATATTCACATCAGTCCCTAACCCTCAAGGTGTAAAGTCCCTAATTTACATTCATACATACACATGCTAGGGCCAATTTAGACCGGAGCCAATTAACCTATCCGCATGTCTTTGGAGTGTGGGAGGAAACCGGAGTACCTGCAGGAAACCCACACAGGCACAGGGAGAACATGCAAACTCCAGGCAGGTGGTGCTGTGGTTGGGCTTCAAACCAATGACCCTAGTACTGCCAGGCGGAAGTGCTAACCATTTAGCCACTGTGCTAAGTTAGTTAAATGATCACCCTTGCATACGGGAGTAAAGGACACTTTTTATTTATTTTTTTTTTGTTTACTGAACCCAGGTGCAATGATATCTATTGAACACAGCTATGTACAAATAGTGCTGAGTGCGGAGAGGTAAAAAAAATGTCTAATTACAGTAATTTATAAACATATGCGTGTATATTGCTTCAATGACAATTAGAACAGGAAGAAAAAGAATTGTATACATGTATACATATGTGCAGGTTTATTATTATATAGGATTTATATAGCGCCAACAGTTTGTGCAGCGCTTTACAAAATGAAGGCAGACATTACAATACAATTTGGTACAGGAGGAAACCGAGGGCCCTGCTAGTTAGAGCTTACAATCTAGGAGGTTTATGTGCCTTTATGCAAGGTCTTTATGGAACATTTTACTCAAGATCTTTCTGTTAACAAGATTCAAACATCAGTAAATGATTACCTCTGTGTGCAAGAGGTCTTAAAGTGAATGGGGCCCTTAACCCCCCATCCCTATCATGTACTACTCACATTTTCTTCGCTCCCACACCACCTGGCACTATAGGCATGAGAGGGCAAATGGCTCATGGCCTTCCTCCTTTGTGACAGTGCTTGGTGTCTCCTGAATAGTTCATCTTTGTCACGTGGTGTTGGGAAAAAGAGCCATAGCCCTATGTGAGCTCCAGTAAGTCATTTTGGAGTGTACACAAAGCTTTCTTTCCCGATTTATTGATGGGTAAATAGGCAGAACTGAAAGGAGGAAAGGTGAGCATGTCCTGCTATGGAAGAGGGGATTTACTATGAACTATATGGACAAAGGAAAAGTTAATTTTGAAGAGCACACCAGGATTTATACATATAGCATTGGCACATGAGCAGAAAATCAAAATGGCAAGAACAGCATGACACTTTATTATGTTATATTGCTATCCTATTTTCCTGTATTTTCTTGATGTTCTTAGCTGGTGCTTTGAGATCCAGCTTAAGCTAATTTGGAATGTGCTCATTTAGTTATCACACACATCTACACAAAACCCATTTTATGGTTGATCTAAGTCCCACAGAGTCTTGGAATGCAGCAGAGTTGCCCACAGAGATGTAGGAAGGAAAATGAAACGTTTATTGTCTCATAATTGTGTGAGTCGAAAACATTTCAGTAGGTTCATTGTAATCTGCTCCTATCTTCTGTTATCGCTATGCTTATTGTGGATAATTTACATCTGTTTCTCATACGGAAACTTGTATGTACTCTGAAACAGAGGAGATGGGGTTTCATAAAGTACCACTCTACAAAGACAGCACAAATTAGAACTTGTTGTACATGTATTTATATATACAATACATTTAACTGTTGAAGGTGGACTGTATATATACATTTTTTGGAATAAACCCAGGAAGTGTGAATGTTTGTTCCACACCCATTCTTACTTTGTGTTTTGAATAGTAACAGCAGGTCCCTAAGTAGTGGGGTGCAGATATGTGCAACTAATAGTCTTCTGTAAAACAATGCTGCGAGTTAGGAATACTTTCAGAAATAGAAGTGTTAATAGCTTATTTTTTTGTCTGGAGTTTGCATGTTCTCCCTATGCCTGCGTGGGTTTCCTCCAGGCACTCCGGTTTCCTCCCACACTCCAAAGACATGCTGGTAGGTTAATTGGACCCTGTCTAAATTGGCCCTAGTATGTGTATGTATGAATGCGAGTTAGGGCACCACTTAGGGTTAGGGACTGAAGTGAATGTACTATATATATATATATGTATGTATGTATGTATGTGTGTGTGTGTGAAGTGCTGCATAAATTGACGGTGCTATACAAGTACCTGTAATAATTAAATAAAAAATAAATATTTTTTTTATCAATGAACAAAATGGAAAGTAAATGAACAGAAGAGAAACCCAAATCAAATCTATATACGGTGACCACCTACCTGCCTTAAAACGTTTGTTAAAACAGTAAGAAAATTTTTATATATATATAATATATTATTTATATATATATATATATATATATATATATATAAATATTATATTTATTATAAAATTTTTTTTTTTTTTTTTTTTTTTTTTAAAGAATACTACTCATTCTAGCTATAGATAAATGGCAGCTAGAAATAGAATTAGTTTCTATGAGAAATGCAGACAATATATTTTTTGCTGCAGTTTTTATACATGGGGTTCATTATTGCAGGTATAAAAAGAGACTTTTAATCATGTATGACCAGACACGTTCTCTTACACTCATTTCCCTCATTCTGACAAGTAGGCAGTTTCTGGAGAACTGAACAGAAATATAATGGAGGCATGCTGCTTTAAGTTATGTGTTGTGCAACCCAGCCACTCAGTTCTGTGTTAAGTGCTTATCACTGCAGTCATAATTCACTGCATGCTTGAAGAAACTGGAGATCAAAGAGAGCTCTAAAACTGCACAGCCGACTGCAGAACTATTGGGCTTCTATCAGTCAATTTAATGAGGAATAAAAAAGCAGCATGCAAGATGGGCTGGCAAGAAGAGATTTGGAGCTTCTGAAAAGTGTGGGAGTAGAGGACGACATGATTACAGACATTCAGATGCGGACTGCGCTACACACTGAACATTTGTTAACACTAATGCATGAGAGTATTAATGTTTTAATACCACTCGCTAAGTGCTACGGTTATACTGCGAGCCATTAAAATGCTGTCTGCCAGTTTGTCATTCTGAATGCCAGTTCTATAAAGATTTGTTTTGTAGCTGTTGCCCGTTACTGAATGCTGTGCTCAAAAGCTTCTGTCTTAATTTAGTAAATAAAATGAACCTCTGGATGGCTGTTACCTTCCACAGCTGAGGCTCCTTTCTAACGCTGTCACAACCCATCTCTCAGGAACAGTGCAAGCCCTAGGTTGAGAAATCCTGTACAATATCATGAAATAGGATGTGCTCACAATGGCTTGCACCACTCCCTGGAATTGGGCGACCTGGCTGGAAGCCTTAGCTGGGACTAATATCACACATTCTGAAGGGCTTGTTCACACTTGCGGCTAGGGGGTAGTAAAAATAGGTGGCTGAGTTGTAGTCTTTTAACTCATCCTTAACCTAACACAGACAGAATTGTATACATGCCCCGCTGAATGTGACCCTTTCTAGTGAATGGGTCTGCGCTGCAACCACTCTGCACTTGTGCGCAATGTATGCAGTTGTGGTGTGGTGGTGCAGGCTTTTAAGGGTTAAACCAGGCAGTGTGGAGGCAACCTGTTGCCTCCCAGTGACCTTCGAAAAAGAGATCCACTGTGGTTCTGATACTGTAACAAAGGTGGGTGGTATGGTTACTACATGTGTTAGAGAAATCAAAAAACATTACATCTGCAGGCCTTCCTCTATCCAACCTACAGCTCACCTCCTCATACAGTGGTAAAAGGTGGGAATGGTCTTTCAGAAATCCATGTTGGTTCTTACTAATGATGCAATTTTTATCAGAAAATTTTTGGATATGGTCCCTTCATCCTTCCAATAGTTTATATACTATTGATCTTCGATTGACTGGTCTGTAGTTTCCAGATATATATCTCAGCCCTTTTGTGAATATTAGTACCACATTTGATTTTTGCTGGTCTGTTGGTATGATTCTAGTAAGCAAGCTGTCCTAAAAAAAAAAAAAAAAAAAAAAAAAAAAAAGCTAGGAACAGTGGTCTGGCTATAACATGGCCAAGTTCTTTGAGACCGCTTCGGTGTAAGCCATCTGGTACTGCTAATTTATTCACATTACGTTTTTTTTTTCTTTTCAATGACTTTTATTGGCTTACATTAGAGAAAATACAGTATAGACATTGGCGTAAACGTTAGTTCATACTGGTATGTTTTTACATACTAAATATTTTTCCAACTTCCAGCAAAAGCACACATGGGATCTGCTAATAACCAAAGTTCTCATCCTGGGGAGGTTCCCCACATTCAGCAGCGTACATCCAGAAACACTCATTCCAGAGCAATAAACCAGTCTACAACACATCTGTGAAACTATCACTTTAAGTTTTTCTAGTCTTTTTCCTCTCCTTTAATTTGTATAAACTGAGGAGAAAATGTGTCTTAATCTAGTTGCCTTCTCCTTGTGACCAGGGCCGGATCTAGCCTGATCTGGGGGTGCAGTAAAAAAAGGTCAGGGGGCACAATCTCAGCACTGTGTGTCACTGACAGTTTGTCACATAGTGTCATGACCTGGAAAACACTTATGTATTATGTTGCCCCCTTTATATCAGATGTCCTTTTCATTGCACCCCTTACATCAGGTGCCCCCATCAGAGTGCCCCCTTACATCAGGATCCCCATCAGAGTGCCCTCCTTACATCAGGTGTCCCCATCAGAGTGCCCCCTTACATTAGGTGTCCCCATCAGAGTGCCCCCTTACATCAGGTGTCCCCATCAGAGTGCCCCCTTACATCAGGTGTCCCCATCAGAGTGCCCCCTTACATCAGGTGTCCCCATCAGAGTGCCCCCTTACATCAGGTGTCCCCCCAGAGTGCCCCCTTACATATAATCGGGTGTCCCCACCAGAGTGCCCCCTTACATCAGGTGTCCCCACCAGAGTGCCCCCTTACATATAATCGGGTGTCCCCACCAGAGTGCCCCCCCCTTACCAGAGTGCCCCCTTACATATAATCGGGTGTCCCCACCAGAGTGCCCCCTTATCGGGTGTCCCCATATACATCGGGTGTCCCCACCAGAGTGCCCCTTACATCGGGTGTCCCCACCAGAGTGCCCCCTTACATCGGGTGTCCCCACCAGAGTGCCCCCTTACATCGGGTGTCCCCACCCAGAGTGCCCCCTTACATCGGGTGTCCCCACCAGAGTGCCCCCTTACATCGGGTGTCCCCACCAGAGTGCCCCCTTACATCGGGTGTCCCCACCAGAGTGTCCCCCCAGCAGAGTGCCCCCTTACATCGGGTGTCCCCAGCAGAGTGCCCCCTTACATCGGGTGTATGCCCCCTTATATCAACTGTCTGCATTAGAGTGGCTCATGAGTCAGTGGATGCGCTCTGAAACCTGAGGGGGCACAACTAAAACCTGGGGGGTACTGCCCACCCCAGCACCTGCCCTGCCTGTGGCTTGTGACCAACCTACCCTAACCATCTCTTGAATGTGGCCAACATGTCCTGACCTAGCCTTCTTACATTTTAACTTTTTTTTTCTTCTGCAATGTTTTATCTCAATCCATTTTAAGCTGCCATGATCACACTCTTGCATTTCTTATTGCATTCTTTCCAGGTTTGAAATGCTGATGATGACCCTGTTTTTAAAGGACATCTTTTTCTCATTAATTAACATTTTTTACCTTTGTATTTAGCCACTCAGGTTTAACTTTTTTTTTTTGTCAAGTGGAATGCACCGGTGAATGCTATTGTTTATTATGTCCTTAAAACACTCCTATTTTTGTTTCTTGGCACAGAATTTGATCCCAATTCCTATCATATAGTATGGAGTGCTGCTTCGTAAAAGTCAGCTCCTTTTGACATTTAGTGTTTTTGTCCTAATCTCATGTCTCCCTTTCTTATGATTTAATCATAATTACTCTGTGATCGCTGTTACTTAAAATACCCCTTACATCCACATCTGCAATCAGCTTTGTGTTTGAAATTTGTAGGTCCAGCAGAGCATCATTTTTAATTGAGGTGTCCGCCACTTGACTCATGAAATTGTCCTGCAATCACATTCAAGAAATCACTAGTCATAGTTGAGTGTGCAGTTTTCTCTGCCTAATCAATATCTGGGTAGTTGAGGTTCAAATGATTATAACATTCCCCATCTCCCCATTATTTCTAGCTGTGAAAAAGAAGATGGGTCCTCCTCATTGTTAAAGTGAGGGAACCTATAGCATATACCCACAATTTGTTTTATCCCTTTTGAAGCTCCAGCCACAAAGACTCCACACCTTCATTAGACCAATTGGCAATGTCATTTCTCATATTCACTATAAATGCACTCTGGACATACAGACACACCGCTTTTACCTGCCCTATCCCTCCAATAGAGTGTACCTTCAGACGGGTGGACTGACCATTTGGAAACTCGGGCACTGCCCGAGGGCCCGGAGTAAGTAGGGGGCCCCATGAGATGCCCCTGGTACCTTTTTCATAGGCTTTTTTTTTCGTTTGGGCAAGGACACGGGCCCCATGATCACCTATTGCCCGGGGGCCCCATGAGTTGTCAGTCCGCCCCTGCCTTCAGATAGTCTCAAGCCAGTCAACTGAGCTATAAAACAAGGTTTTTGATGGTCCCTCAAAGTCCTCCTGAAGTATCAGAAGTTCTAATTCTTCCATCTTATTAGCTGGACGTCTATAAATTTAAAAGGTATGTTCACAAATGATAGTGTTTCCATCAACAGGAAAATGACAATTTAGCTCAGTTTACAGCAAACAGAGACCAATATGGCCCAAGAAAGGCCAGGCTGGGAAGGTGAATGTTACAACAGTTCTAAGCTTCTTTTTGACATTTTGCTACTTACAGTGGGTGCATTATATTTTCTAACAATGTGAGTCACTTATTTGGGAAGATGATCTGATTCAGGGAGTAACATGCAACAATGTAACCAACAAGCTAAAAACCTATGATTCAATTTTATGCAGTGCTCTGTAGACAGTCTGTCCTGAGAGTGGTCACTATGTCCCTACACAAACAGACCATGCAAGTCTGTGGGCAGCTTTAGTCCTTTTACTTGCCTTCACACACAATTTTATTTTGGCTTGGAGACATTCTAAAATATAATCTCCCGTATTTGCTCAGACTGTGTTCTGGAACTTTATTTCAGGTTTTATCTGTATACATGTCTACAAGCTGGCGTAATACCATAACATTTATACATGGCCAAAATACATCTTTTAAAAAAAAAAAAGCATAATATATTATAGAACATACATAATAAAAAAAAACCATTAAAGTGTTTGGTGTACAGCTTCTGCTGTGTTTCATCGTTCTGCTGCTGCCACCTAGTGGATTTTTTTCAGAATGTACTGTAATGACATAACAGAATTCAAACTTTGTATTCGCCATTTGTTTTTTCAAACCAAATATATCTTTTGTTGTTTAGCTTATAGGTTTCACAGGGGTATTTTTAATAGTGCTTAAAGTGCTGTCAGTGTCTTGGAAGATTTCTTCTGATAACTCCTCCTTGTCATCCTCTCCCATGCTAGTATCCAGGACTTCTGAGCATCTCCCATCCTATGAAACTCTTTACCCCAATTTGTCCAATTATCTCCTAATCTGTCCATCTTTTAGATGATCCATGAAAAGCCTTCTCTTTAAAGAAGCCTGTCCTGCTTCTAACTAATACACTGTGTGTTTTTTACTTTCTCCATCAGCTCATCCCCCACAATTATTACCTTTTTGTATCACTTGACCCTCCCACTTAGATTGTAAGCTCTAACAAACAGGGTCCTCTAATTCCTCTTGTACCAAATTGTATTATAGCTGTAATGTCTGCCTTCATTTTGTAAAGTTCTGCAAAAACTGTTGGTGCTATATAAATCCTGTATAATAATAATAACTGATGGGACTTTTCAAGGCCCTTCTTTATGCATGCAAGTTTGTTTCCTGAATAGCAAAAAAGGAAAAAAACAAGTAGAGTTTTTGCCTAAAATATGGACATCTGTAGAACAAAGGAGGAAGCTGGAATTTGGGTCCTAAAGAGGGGCACGTAGGTAATACTTCTAACACTCATGGAGACTTTCCGAAGCGTAGAGATAAACATTTTAATAAAGACCTATTTATTGGGGAATAGACTAAAATCTTCCCCAGTGACCCAAAACCATTTTTTCTAGCTTGTATATAGCGTGTATAAAATGCCTGTCAGGTTTTATTTCTGCTGTCTGTGTCTTGTTGGGAAGATTTTTCTTTACATCCTGTCCTAGAGACACCACATTAAGGGGGAACTCCCTTCTTAGTTGTGACCAGAACAGGAGTTCCTATTGAAAGATTTCTCCTCACCTTCTGTTCTGGTGACAGCTATAAAATATTGACATTTCCATCACCTGCCCAAGCGACAATGGCTACCAGGACCAATAAAAAGGTCAGTCTTCCCCCAGCAATGGCACAGACAGCAATAAAAACCTGATGGGTTCTAACCATTCTTCACTCCATCATAAACTAGAGAGAAGGTTTGGCTGTGAATACACTTTCTAGTACTTTTGTCTCTCTATGATTTACTCTTTGAAACCTGTAAAAAGCTTAACCTATACCTCTGATCTTTTCATTACTTTACAGAAAGAAATGACAGTGCGGATGTGCCAGTGAAGGATGATATCGTATAATGGAGGAACTACCAGCTTCCTAATTATAACGTATAATTAATCTGTGGACGACATAGGCGTAACTGTCATTGTGGACTGAGAAGCACACAGCTTCTTCCATTCCTGGATCTTTGCCAGTTTCTGGATTCCACTTATGCTGCTAAGACGACTCTGTGAATGGTGTAGTTGGACCATTTGACATTATCGTCATGGATGACCCATGACTAGACCTACATCATATTATACTATGCCCAAAAATGTTGCTGCATAGCATGACCAAAATCCAGGGTTTCACAGATGAATTTATACTATTTTTTAATTAACTGATTTTTAATAATGTCAAATTACATCTTTCTATTTTAACTAGAACACTTTTTACTACTTACAGAACTTTTAGAGTTTTTTAAGGAACAGTGAGGATTAATTTTATATCTAGGAAATATGGATAAAGGAGATTCTAATTTAGAGATTAGTCTAATAATGATGTGATTAATGGTACAATGGGCAGATGTAATAAAAGCTCTGTGTCCTTGTAGTGCCTCAGGTTCATTCTAGTGTCGCATATTTTTTACTAAATGTTTGTTTTTTAATTAAACACTGAAACCCTGATCCTCTTACAATCTTTCTAACTTATTCATCTCTCAGTGTTATTTAGAAGACAATAGTTAAATGCAATTCTTGAAGGGTATATAACAAAACAGGTACAGTATGTTCTAATCACAAATTATTGTGCTAGCTAAAGGAAAGCCTTTATAGCCTGAGATGCCTAAAGTTATCTGAAATTTTTTCTGGGTGTTGCTATTCTAAATTAAGGGATTACCACCATAACATTCAAATAGCACTTTGTCAGAGGTGAAGATGAATGTGATAAAACTCACTTCTGTGCCATTGTATGATGCCTTCTACTGTAGTCAGAGCAGGGTTTCAGTTGTATGACCCCTAACACCACTTCTGCTTTCTCTCATGGCTAAGGGGGGGTTGTTTATAATGTAATTTTATGAGAGAGCAGATACCACAGTCTTCAAATTGGAACCACATGCTTTCTTTTTAAAATGTAGGCTGCCATGTCTGGAGCCTGCGATGTCTGCCAGCTCTCCTATAACAGAGTGTTCTCTGCATAAGAGTGTAGAAAACACTGTTATTGGAGAGCTCAGTCGCATGACTTTGACAAGCCAGAACAAGAATATGGCCACAAAATTCTATTATAATATAATGAGCAATAAATGACGTGTCGTTGTCAGGTCTGCATAAAAATAGCATCTAGCAGACTTTGGATTGAGCAAAAGGAGACTCGAACAGTCTAAATTGTATTTATCCTTTGTTTTTTTAATGTAATTGAAATGTGTATAAAAAATGCCTTTATGATGTAGTAGTTTAAAGTGGTTGCAAGCACCTAAAGGGTTTTTTTTTTTTCTATTTTAAGTAAAGAACCTTTTATGTGCAGCTCCATCCCAAGCCCCCCACCCCCCTTCAATACTTACCTAAGCCTGATCTCGATCCAGGAGCTTCTCTCTCTCTAGTGGTTCTGGCTGCTGTCAAACAAATTCAGTGAAAAGGGAGCAGGGGGGCGGGCCTGAGCTGCAGTGTGTGTGTCAATAGACTAACAGTGCAGCT